ACTTACCCACATGTTCTGTATGTGAATACAATGAAACTCTCTTCATCAGTTCTCTCCACAAACGTCACACAGGTGTGCTTTTCCCAGTGCCTCATAGCTTGCTTAAAGATAGCTCTTTGGGTTCCTGGAAAAGAAACCAAAGAAGAGCAAACAGGGAAGGCCTGGCTTTCAGGAAGATCTCTATTGGGCTTCATCTGGAGAGGGGAACAGTAAAGCCCTTCAACAATTGATCCTGTATCTGAAGACAATCTGGCACCTACTTCCTAATATAGCACTGATTTACTGTATCATGCTTTACTCTCTTTCCGCATGATGAATTAATTGCTCTACTTAAACAGGCAACTTCTGCATATAAGAAATACCATCCTACCAGGTCATTCTGGTAGAGTTGCTGCAAGCCCTGATCTGTGCACCAGCTACTCAGTGTTGTACCACATTTGCTCTCATGCTACAACATAACATGACCAGACAGTTTTCAAGGAGCAGGAATCTCACATCAGTGCTACCTATGCGCTCCTCCACGCTAAGGCAAAACTGTTGCCAGATAGTTTATCTTCGGTATTAGAAGCAAAACCTGCACAGCAGCTAGAGAGAGTGGTCTCAGGGCAGTGTAAGAAGGTGCAGAGATTCACTGCTGCTCTGTGCTTGATTGACCCTGAGGGACAGCTCAGGACCTGAACAGAGAGACACCTGAAAAGCAGGGGAGTATGCCTGGCTCACACCAGCAAGACGACAGGCCACAGGACTTTGCCTCCCCAGGGAGCCGGCTGTCTGCAGTGCTCACTCAGCAGTAAAAATGGCCCTAAAGATAGCTGGAAAGTGATGCCCTGGAATGGTACGTGGCTTCCCTGCAGTACTGCCTTTCCAACATACCCTGTGACACACAGAGGGCAGCAGAGCAAGCTGCCACACTGAAGAGGGACTAGAGAGGGAGAAAAGGCCAAAAGCACTTCAATGACGCACAGGGAACACAGAGAGGAGCTCCAGGGTGGGATTAAGCTGGAGTAAAACACCAAGCTGAATGCAAGAGAAGAACTGCACTATAGCAAGAGCTGCTTCTCACACGGCCACCCCAAACGGAAGGGTGATGTTATGTAGTCTGGACTAGGCTAGGCTGTGGAGCACACACAATCTAGATGAGACTCTCTCATCAGACCCTGAGGAATGGGGATGGCTGTTCTCTGACAAACGCCCAGGGCAGCTGTGCTGCCAGACAATATGCTGAGAGGTTGTTGCATGCGCCTCTCTGTTCATAGGAGGTGAATGGACCCTTCCCCTGGGGATTCGCACACTCCTGACAGCACTACAGGTGACAGGATGAGAGAGGGTCTGAGGGAACATGCTAAAGTGTTGAGGATTACTAGCATGGGAGAGGCAGGACCAGGGAGGAAAACCCACGCTCGAGAGGAACGGTTCCCAAACTGCCTTTTGTTTGCTGGGACAAAGCACATCACAGCCTAACACAGACTCCAGGGAATAAGGTCTGCTAGATCTAAGTGGCAGATGCAGCTGTCTGAGGGAGAGAGGGAACAGGAGGGAGCTAGCTCTAGCAAGCACAAAACATTTTTCATTTCTCAAGAAAATCAGCCTCACGGGGAACCACTCAGCTAGAGAGAGGTGGCCTCAGAGCAAGTTGGCTGTCTGCTCTGCAAGAGAGATTTGCAAGAGATCTGCTCCCCCAAGGGATGTTTTAGTTTCGGCAGCGCCTAGAAGATGCCATAAAGGATGCTTTGAAGAGCTCCTCACCCATCAAGCGATCCAGCTCCCTGTTCATCCCCTTCACACACCCAGAGGAGATTCTGAAGTTTGGTGCCCAGAAAACAGCAGGTCAGGAAGCAGAGCGCACAGGGAAAGTTCTCTGAATGGTAATTTAGAAAGCAATCCAGAATACTTCTGCTCCTGCTCTTCTAGCAGCAGAGAGGAGCCCTTTCTGTAAATGCAAGGTGTGTGTGCAGCTTGCAGGTGCTGATCCATGAAGCAACCAAAAGCCACTCAGCATTACTTGGACTGCAAGAGAAGCACCATCTCTCTTCACACTTCAGGCTTGGGCTTCCATAGCGCACAGTCCCTTGTGCGTGCTTATGCCCATCCCACCTCAGGACAGAGGCTCCCAGAGATCTGAGTCATGTGTGGGAAAACTCTGCTCCTGACATCTCCCACACATTCTGAGACACTCACCCCTGAGCAACAAACAGGGAGCAATGTCTTCACTACTGACCAGTGAAATTTCCTCCGATCACATAGGGGATGACCCCCCCTGGCCAGATCCTCTCAGCCCTGGATGTGGTTGCCCTGCGTACTCTGGGAGAGGAGTGTGTATCCATCCCAGACTCATCATTGTACTCCTTCCTCTTCGGTCTCCTCACAAGCGCTGCATTCTGCCTGCCGTCTGCAAGACAGAGTGGCAACACTGTTTAAATCCTCTGTGGCTCCACCTTCAGCCCTCCGGTAATAACCTGAAGCCTCGGAGAAAGCAAAACAGAACAAGGCAAGATGTTAATCCGAATCAGAAACCACGGCCAGATCTACAAGTGGTTTGTTCAGGACTTAGAGACAGTTCATCTGTAGCAACCTGGCCTTTCTTGTCTTTAAGTCTCCCTTTGCCCTGTGCCAAACCTTCTCTGCTAGCAAGGTGGAGAGGAACAGCCCCTCTGTCTCTATTCACGCACTGTATCAAACAGCAACTTCATCGACAGGGACACAGTGTTTAAAAAAAGGCAGTAGGAGATGGGAGGTTGAACAACCCCAAACTTCACTGTGATGTGTATTTTCAACCCACCCAGCTCATCTAGATCTGGAGAGAGGAGTTTTATCCTGCCAGGGATAGCTTCACAAGGGGAGAAGTAACTCATCTGAGCTAGCCTTAGAAGCAGAGGACAGGCCCCTTAGACTGAAACCTACACTGGAGGCTGGGAAGTATTTTGTATAATATTTGTTTTCACAAGTCAGCTCTCAGGTGGTTTGGAAACATCTACATATTAGAGAACTTCTGCTGGAGGAGGAAGGTTCAGGATGGAAAGCTGAGACATTCCACACTTAGCACAAATCTCCATGCTGAATCTCTTCATTTTAATGAAAAGAAGAAAAACATGTAAAAGGGAAAACAGAACATGTACCCCCTTTCTTGCTAAATAGGCAGTCATATTTTTCTGCCAGCTCTGACCCAGGCCACCCCTTGCCAAGGAAGGGCAGGTTCACATTGCCTCTTGCGGCCCACATAGACCTATCTCACTTGTCCACAGGCTCAAGGTCTGCCAGCAGAGGACCCCTAGCTGTGTGGTGCTCCATGCTGGCCATGAAACCTGCCTGAGGGTTCATTCAGGCTCCCAGGCAGGCCCTGCATCTTGCCCTGCATCTGTGCTACTGTAGCTGCACTTAGATACTGGTTTTGCCTACAAGAGTTGCACTTTTAATACAGTGTGGGTTTGACCCAGCTGAAAATGTCCTCATTTGGAGTTCCCTGGCTGTTCATCTCCTATTGGTTGTGCCATCTGTGGTCCCAATCCTCCAGGTAGTCTTAGTCCAGTTGTGGTTTTTTTTTTTTTCCTGTTAGTATGTGCAAGGGCTGTGTGGGCTTATGTTCTTGCATAAGCTGCCTGTATCGCAGATACAGCCATTAGCTAGGCTTGGGCAAAGGAGTAACAGAGTACAGGACTCACTACATTGGTAAAGAGCAGAGCCTGAAGGGATACACCTAAGGGAACTCCCTTCTCACATCAAGAGGTAACACTGCTGGCAGTGACTTCTCAGTGCTGGCAGGCCTCTCTGAAACTCCAAGATGAGGGGTCAAGGCTATACTTGCAGTGTTGTGATTCATATGGAAATCAGAGTAAGGCTGGCTACAGCTTTGCTTCCCAAGTCAGGGACACGGGCTGGACATTTAAAGCTCAGTTATGAAAAAAAATGCAAGCCCCACTGAGCCCTCCCTCTTGAGATTAGAGGTGCTGCTGAGAGCCTCCTCTCTCGTTCATCCCTCCAGTGGAAGCATGGGCAAGCAAACCACTACTGTCAAGGCTGAGGGGAACAAAACAATGGGAAGGAAATTAAGGCAACCTACAGAGGGATGGAAGGAATGAACTTTAAACCTTCCTTCCTGCTTCATCAGACCCAGCCCTTCCATCTGGAGGCCTTGCTCTGAACCACAGGCCCAGCTTGGAATTTGCCTTTTGTTCCATTTTGTCCTGAGCAGCTCCCCAGCAAAGCCAGGTGTGCCAGGCATTTCAGAAGCTGCATCATCCCCAAACCAGCTGCTGGATCCTGGAGTCAAATGCCCTAATACCAGGGGGTTCCCACAATGAAATAGGAATTACCCTCACCCTCTTTGCATGCTTTCATTCCAAAAAGGTACCACCGGAGCATTACAAGGGCCACAGCTGGAAGAAGGGGGAGGCTCTCGAGAGAGAAGTGGCCTTCTGGATACAAAAAAGCTCTGTGAATTTGTGGTCAGACAATTCCTGCCAGCCAAGCCTAATGAGGAGTCCTCTGACCTGCGCTCTCCTGCTCCAGCACCTGGTACAGTAGGAGCCCTGCTCAGGAGATCCCAGATCCACGCTTCTGCACCATGAACACTTCCGTTCCTCACTGCCAACACACCTTCTCGGGCAAGTTCTTGGCAATAGTCCCAGAACATCTCTTGGCCCATCTATGCTAAGATTTTCTGCCTTGACAACTTACATTTGCAGCAGGCCCTCAGAGAGGCCTAACGCTCCCTTCCAGCCAGCAGTGGAACTAAGGGAAAGCAGGCAGCAGAAGTAACGTAACTAGGGCATACAAAAAATCTGGATGGAATGCTTTAAAAAAAGACTTCAATTAACCTCCCCCACACACTGATTAGTACTAGTGCTAAGCCTGGGACAACTGTGATCCTTTCTAGAACTCCCCTTCTTCAGTGCTGAGGAGCACCAACCTCAGAGGTTTCCACACACCAGTGGTGAGGGGGACTCGATCCTTACACTACCCGCAGCCCAGGCAGCACCCCGGATCTGGGACATACTGTGTAACAGTCCCTGCTACTCTCTGAAACTCACTTGGGGTCTCCCACACTCATCTGGCCAGCAGAGATAGCTCAGCTTTACCCCAGACAGCACTGGGCTATGAACCAGGTAGTCTCAAGCATGAATGCCCCCCCCATGGACTGACCTGCTGTGTGGTCTCTCGGCCTCAGTACCCCTATCCATAAGAGGGAAACAACAGTCCCTCCTGCACACAGGGGCTGCAAGCACCTTGCACAGAGCAGGGAAACACTATGAAAATGCCCACTGTAGGCCTGGACAGATCCTATAAGCAATTCCTTACCTACGTGAGTAGGAGGAACCAACTGCTGAGCTCAGCATGGGTGATAGCTCTGCTTCAGGGGAACAGGACCTTAAACTGGCTCAGCTGAAACATCTCCAGCAGGAAGGGGCCAGCTAGCATTATACTCTCTGCCTTGGGGCAAAACAGTGTTGCTGTCCCAGTGACATCCACAGGTAACTAACTATTCAAGGCAAACTCCTCCTTGCAGAGAGTCCACCAAGGGCAACAAATACAGATGCCAGGGCAGGGCTGGTCTCCTAAGTATGGAGAGACACACAGGTACACAGGACAAAACAAGTTTTTACAAGGGATAAAAGAGTAAATAAAAGATACCCAAAGGTCTGGGTGGGGTACCACATTACCCTTTTTAACTGCTTTGCTACTATGATCCGTGGAAGTGGTGTTCTCACTTGGCACAAGAGACTGCTCTCCCAGACCTCCTGCAAAGGAAGAAGAGCAGAAACTCCCGGTAAGTAAGATGGCAGAGCCCTGTCACAGGAAAGAGAGTGGCTGTCAATGATGCTGTTTGTGTGACTGCTGGCCACAGAAACTGCCCGCTCCCTTTGTACAGAGAGCAGGGATTGAGAGCCTGATAAAACTGGGCTCTGCCTGGATCTGTTCCTGGCCTATGGTGGCACCTCACAACTTGCATTAGTGCCCTGGGCTTTAGTTTCCCTGTATACTGAATAGGCAGAAAGTCTCTTCAAGGGAAGTCTAGTTCCACTGATCTTTACTGAGGATAGGAGCTATACAAAGAAGGTGGTAGCAATTATAAGTACCCCTATTAAATCCCAAGCTAAAAAAGGCACACTGTCAAGACAAAGAATTATCTAAATTCAAACCAAGATACTCTATTAAGTCATATACATCTGGCCTGAATTCAGCTTCATCTGAAAATAAAAGTCCTTCTCTGTGCTGCTAATATGTGCTGGCTATCAGAGCAGGAAGAGCTGTACAGCGTTAGCTCCTGGGTGTTTCTTGTGCTTCATTCAGTGCCAGCTGCTCCTCCCTCTCGGTACAGCACTGCCAGGCACATAGAGGTCCCAACCTTGGCCTGGAATGTGGCTCCCTCCAGCTCAGGCACCAAAACAAAACTGGTTGGTCCCACTCAGGGTTTCTCCCAGCCTGTTTTTCCTATTTCCACCAGGGAAAATGGGACTCATGATGTTCCAGTGATGGGCAAGAAACCACCACAAGAGGGGAGGATGGATCACAGTCATTAGACACAAACTACAGCAGTACCATGGTACCAGTCCTTTGCTTTCCTCCAGATAGCACTGCTGCTTCTTCCTCCCACCAGTGTGCTATAGCAGAGCTTTCCTGGTAGCGGGGTGCAGGGGTTGCAGAAATCAACTCCACCAGGTTAGGTTGTCCTGCACACAAAGGGGGCTGAGGGGGCCCAGTGCACCCAACATCCTCTACCGTAAGTTGAAAACTCTCAGGGAGAGATCTAGCTCCCCAGAAAGGTCACATCACTGGGGAACGGAGAGAGAGAGAGATCCCTTATCTGTAACCCCCACAAAGCCTCACTAGTCTCTTGTCTAAACATTTTAAGGTACCACGATACTTGGCTGTAGCCCACTACATGATTTTAGCTTCATTGTTGTATGACATAGAAATAGGATCTTCCCTCAATACTGGGCCCATACTGCCACAAAAAAGATTTAAAATGTCACCCAGCACCAGAACACAATAGCACTTCTACTTTAGATAACTTCAGAATAGTTTGGCTCACTATAAAGGGAAATACCAGCCTTGCAAACTTACCTGTACTGCAGGAGCCGAACTGGTATCTCCTTCTTTTATATAATGAAAGATTAAAATCTGATTTCATAAGTACAGTTATGTCCACTGTGACCTACAACCCTGAGGTCCACCAACAAACCTCCCATAAGCAGTAGGTTAAAGACAGTTATATCCAAGTAACACAGGAGGAGGAATGAAGTCCATTTCATGTTTACAGATAACTCATGGATAAGTGTTTTAACCAAAGCAGTTTTCAGAGCATTGGAAAGCCCCTGAATTGTGCATCTTCTTTGTCGATTTCGAAACTAGCTTCTTCTGTTCACAACATATTTTCTAATCTAATCTCCCACCACCACCATCTTCAACTTTAGTTTTCCCTAAAAAGTCTATTTCTAAGATAAACCTCCCAACAGCAGCTAGTAAAGTCAAAAAAATTCAGAGAGGCTGAAAATTTCAAAATTGGTAAAGAAGCAGAGGTGTGTTCTCAATGTTGTTTTTCTATGGTATTTTTCAGCTTCTTAAAAATATGTAAAGGAAAAAAAAAGCTCAAGAGTACCTAATGATTTTGCATCCTATCATAAAATCTACACAGAGATCTGATTTTCCCATCAAGTGTGTGTGTGTGGCAGGAGAGGGAATCTCCGATGTAAGGTGCACCACACAGTCTACTCCAAAGGCACTGAGGCTTGTTTGGATGTCTCCAGCCTGTGTGCTAAAAAATAGATTTGAATTTCCAAAATCAGCATGTAGATATTCCAGTAGGTGCAAATCTTTACAGTTCAAACCAGAATGTTGCAAGGAAGGATTTTGGGATGTTTCACACTGACTCAGTGTACCTGCTTCAGCCTCCTGTTACAGTAGTTATCTGAGATATGCCAAATCCAATCTTCCAGGATGCATTTAAACTTTCTGGGATAGCTTTCAGGTTCTGGTCATCTATCAAGCAGGCTGGCAAACAATCATACAGTCTCGTGATGTGAATACTACATAGTACCAGCAGCTGCTAAATGCTAGGTGAGAGATCACCCAGCAGCAAGAGAACCTTCAGGAGAGAAACAGGGGAAGAAAAATGTAGCGAAGGGGATAGAAAAATGAGAATGTGGGAGAGGGAGGAACAAGGGTCTTCTACAGCTGTCTGTCTTCCAGGTTTCCCACCCTTCCCATTCTGGTGGTCCAATTTGGGAACATCACAGAAGCCAGAGACTATCTACATGGACACTAGAAACCTGTGCAGTGAGAGCCATTGAACACTCAATTATCCTAACACAGAAAACCAGCCCAGCACCTCTTTGGCAGAAAAGCTCTCTACAGTGACTCTAGCAGGAGGGAGAACTCAGCAATGTTATGTGAGGTGAGAGAGCATGACACACAAGGCAGTATAACAATATCAGATGTATAACAGATAAATAAAACATGCTTTGGGACTACATCCACAGCCTTAAGAAGGTGGTTGTGACATCTTCACCCTCAACCCCAAAGCCTGGTTTTGCAGGTCTCCTGTGAGCAGAAGGGAGGCTGAACGGGCTGATCTCTGAGGAGATATTAGAAAGAGCAAGTCTGCACAGCTTGGGTGGCAAGGTAAAGCAGGAAGAGCATGATCTACCACATTATGCAGAGAGGGAGATACTGTTAGTCATACAGCAGTGCTGGATGCAGTGTAGATACTTCAGGAGAGATGTCCCACTTCCAAGAGCGCGGGCCAACTTCCAGCACTTGAAACAGTCTTGCTTTGCCAGCTGGAAAACTTCCCTTTCTCCCTAGGGCTGGCTTCTCCTTGCAAACCCTCCTGCAGCCTCTCCAAGGTGGCAAGGGGGGAAGGGAAGAGAAAAGGTACACTGCTGATAGGTGGAAGAGGGCAGAGAGGATGGTGTCCAGTTTCTCTCAAAGGTTATAATACCAGAACTAATTAGAATACCAGGAAGGCGGTAATGGAAAACAGCAGTAAAATGAACCAGAAGAGAATAAAATACCCAAACCCTCAGCTGACTATAGGTTAAAGCCTCCTGGTCCAAGAGACGCATTAAATCAGGGAATTGTCTCCCAAAGGAAGTGCCATAATTCAACAGAGCTTGACTGGACAAAAGCCACTAGATGTGTGAACAGGAACAAGCTTGATTCAACAAGATGAATTGCCCTGAACTCCCATCACTCTTCTCCAGCCCCAATGTCCCATCCTAAAATTTCCCTTTGTTTTCTTTCATCCTCAGTCCTCGTCACTTCCTTAAGCCCAAGCTCAACAAAAGTTCCTCTTCTCAGTTAAATATTACAGCTCCAGGACTTTTCACCCTCCCAAAGTATGCTGTTCTCCGCAGAACATCCCATTCCATTTAAAGGAAATCCCCATCAACCATTCACTACCAGAGTTATTAAGGCATGTGGTCTTTGCTGTAGCAAAGAACAATTTTGTATTTCTAAATAAATGCAGCTTGCTTCCAGTCACAAACAGATTGCTTCTTAATTGAACTTGGGAGGTGAATTATATGGTGAATTAGGAAAAAAGAACAACTCCGCATTTAGTGAATTGTTCCCCTAAAAGGGGACTGTATGGGATTGAATTGCAAATGACAGCACCAACCCTACAGTCGGGCCCCTTCTCCCGCATCCAGGCTGGTGACCTCTGCTGTGTCGCTGTGTCGTTTGCACAGACTGTTTTTCCAAGTCATGAGCACATTCTTTCCCAGAGATCAGTGCAAGCCTTGGTTTCTTATGCAAAGGAGATGTTTGAATAAAGCAGTGTGACTAATGAAATCTACAACATCTTTGCATATTTTGTCTCATTGTAGCCCATGAAAAGGGGGAGCATTATACAAAGGCTAGATACGGGTATGCAGACATACCGGATATTTTCAGACTTTACTAATCACACTAGTACACACAGGGAATACCTACCCCCTTCTCTCCCACAAGGGTTTTCTCAAGTCATACATGAGAATTTTGGAAGATCCTGTTCTGATACACCTGAGCTTTTAGACTTTGCCTGTCCTTATGAGACCTAGACACATCCCAGAGATTAAAGAGACTCGACGGACATCTAGTCCTCCCTCCCAATTCTTCCCAAGAGAAGGATAATGCATGATTCTAGGAAGGCAAAGACAGGTAACTGAAGTGCTTTTATCAGTAAACAGGAGGCCAAAAAAAGGACCTTACATTTGGAACCAACTGCACATAGATTGTAGACAATGTTCAGGTCCTCTGGCCTCTTCTACAAGTCCCCTGAGTTGCAGCTTTCTCTTGGACTATCCTGTTACGTCAGAGAGCAGAGTGGATTATGGCTGTTACTTCTCCAGAGCATGACATGCTCACTTATGTATTTAAGCCTATCATCACTAGAAACACTGACCAGGAGAGTGAAGATTTTCAGTTTGACCCAATGCTCTGTGGGAAGCCAATGTAGCAATAAAAAGGCAGCCTTGATGCACTCACAGTTATCTGTAATGAAAAGAGCAAAGCAGGACTGACTTTTTTGTTTTTAATGTATATCCAACAGGTTAACAAGCCCTTCAAAATCACTTTGACCTTCACTACTTCCCACCTGCTGCTGTGCCAGACTAGCCATCACCTCTTTCCAGCCTGATTTTTTAAGATTTGTCTGCTCTCTCACAACCAGGGATCACATAGGTGGGTTTGATGGCATCTCTGTGCAAGGAGCTGCACTAGATCTCCTAAGGTCTTTCCACTTCCACATTTTTACAAT